TCTACCAACAAGAAGCCTAGGGATTTGTGGATCAGAAAAAAAATATAAGTTGAGGATTTCCAGGGTGATACAGAGATAGTAGAAGTGTGAAAGTGATTAAGAAAGAAAAAAATCTGAACTACTTTAATTTTGTTCTATAAGCTCAGAAATGGCCTGGAAGCTTTGAAAGTGACCCTCTGGTCTGGTTAGACTCAAAGGTTGCTCAAAGTGCTGAGAAATTTCTTGTCCTCCAATTCAGCTGAACTGCAGTCAGCAGCTGGATGCACGGTCAGCGTGGCAAGAAGGGATGGTTGGAGGCCATCCAACGGGGCAGTAGAAAAGGGAACTCTTTTTGCACAGTGACAGCGAAAGAGAGTTATGGCCTTCAGGCCTTAGAGACTTTTTTTTGCACATTGAATCCAGGGGTCTTTTCCATGAAATTTATGGTATTTTCCCATTAGATAGTTTAGACCTCCTTGAAATGCAGTTATTGCAATAACCTGTCTGGCTTTGACAGATCAGTGCAGGTCCCATGGTCAAAAACACTTGGTCAGTCTGTTTGTCCAGCAAGTTCCTGTAACAAGGGAGAGTTTTTTAGTATTTCCTCTGTATTATCTGTAAGGAAAAACCTATTAGTCTGTAAGAGTTAAGCATTGGCATTTCCCTGCGGTCACCATGCCTGTCTCCACAAAGACCAAAATGTTTGTGTTTTCTTCTGGCTACACATCACTCCACAGAACAGCACAAATAATTGGTGGAAACATCAGGAAAAAAGAACCTAAAGAATGAGCAAGAGTGGAAGTGAATAGTTTTAGAAAAGATTTGAAAGAATGGGGAAATGAAGGAGGCAGATTGATACTAACTGCAGTCAGCAGTAGCTTTGGAGATGTCCACCTCCGTAGCTATGGTGCAGCAGGAAGGGCCCTGCTTCAATCAGGCAGGTGAGAGGAATGACCTCGTGAAGAAAAACAAATATGATCAGAAAGTGCAAGTTTATGGGTTCCTGTAAAAGCAATAAGACACCTTTTGACCTGACACAGTCCCAACTGAAAGTCCAGTGAAATACTGTAACTTTAGAAACCTCAGTTGCATCTACTCCCACTTTTGTTAGTGGCCAGTGATGGATGAACTGGTTGTGAAGCATTATTTCTCAAGAACTGTTACCTAGCAAGAGAAAATAATAAAATTAGTTTAATTGTGGCTTGTTTAACTTATGCCTAAGGTGGCACAAATTAAAGATTTGTGAGGGTTGAAAGAGACCTTTAAAATCATCTACAACAGTCAAACTCCAGAATCCCCCCTGAACCATATCCCTGAGTGCCACAACCAGACACAGTAGGATTGCACCTAACATAGTGCAGGAGAGTCAGCATTCCTGGGGCAGCATTCTGAGAAGGTCTCCCTGCCCTGAAAGGAAGCTAGGTCATGGGGAATCTGCATTTTCCTCTGCTGGAACCTTGAGTTCAGAATGTGGGCTTTTGTATAAGGCACCTCTTAAAGGAGAGACAAATACTCTTATCTTGTCACTTTGGAGCTAGAAGAAACCACAAGTATCTTATCTTCCTCAGAAATCCTTCTGTTTGTCCTTCAGTAATACACAATATGTAGTACCAGCCCCAGGCTGCATCTCTGGGTGCTCACAGTTTTGTAAATCATGTTGGGCTTCAGGAGATATTGCCTGCTTTCCCTCTCCTCACACCGATGTAAAGTAGAAGTAATTTCTCTGAGTTTAGCAAAGTTGCACCTCACTGAAGCTGGTGCATGAAGAAATCAAGTGTCACTAGGGTTGAATTTCAGATGCACTTAACCTCCCCTGAATCCCTGGATCTGGACTAAGTGTCTCCAACTGGGTGACAGCATTCAGGAGAGCTTAGCTCAGGAAGGGCTGAAGAAAACTCAAAACAGGTCTCAGTGCCTATTGAGTCTGAACTAAGAGCAACAACACTAGTAACTCTCAATTTTCCAAATTGGAAGAAGGAGAGGTAGTCACTGTTCTGTACACTAACTTGGGGGAAATAATAGTTCATAACTCAGGGCACAAAGTAGTATCCCTGGGGGAAAAAAGTTCTATTCTCCTTTGTGTGGTACCACATATTTGGGTAGATACTGACTTAACAGTAAATAGTGAACTCCTTTTACAATTTTTGATTTTTGCCAGCTTGGAAAATTATGGCTCTCCTTCGACTTCCATGATTAAAGGCCTCTCTAGAAATCTGTAAAGTCGCTTGGGGTAGTATCAGTATAAATCAGTGAGACGGAGCTAAACCCCTGATAATTAATTTTTTGCAGCAGGCTATTCCATTTAATTCCCAGGGATTCCCAAAGCTCCAGACACATGTCCAGTTTGAAAGGCTGTCCAGGAAGTGGGGACAGCACCCAGCCAAGTGCCATCTGTTGGCCATTTACCATACTGCCTCAGAGGACAGTTTCTGAGTGCCTGAACCAAGCCCGGATGATGTGGTCTAAGCCCATCTCTTCAGATTCAGACCCACAGTTTAGTACCTCATTTCTCCTCAGAGAAGGACGGCTCTGCTTTTCCCTAGATCTAGTCCCTTCAGACTCCCAGTATAGTTTATCTTTAAGTTGGACATGAAGAAGAATTTCTTTACAGAAAATGTGGTTAGACATTGGAATGGGCTGCCCAGGGAAGTGATGGAGTCACTGTCCCTGTGAAAGGAAAGACTGGATGCAGCACTTAGTGCCATAGTCTGGTTGACATGGTGGTGTTCAGTCATAGATTGGATTTGATGATCTCAGAGGTCTTTCCCAGTGTAACTGATTCAGTATTCTGTGGTCTCAGAGAAGGTGTAAGACTTCTGGTTAATGTTTTAGGACATGAGCAGGTATACAAACAAATATTACTGCGATTTGTAAAGTATCCTCTCATTTTGTTGAAGGAAAAAATTGATTAACCATTCCTAGGGAGACCTAAGCATAGTGACCCCTTCTCATGATTACTTCTCCAACAATTTGAGGTTGAATAATTTCAGCTAGAGGAAGAAGATAAGATTTGCTCCAGTGTCACTGGGGTAGTGAAGCAGGGAGCAAATGTCTCAGCCCCTCTGTACTGTAAGGTTGATCATCTGTCCTGTGGCCACAGAAACCCAAGAGATTATCCCATATTGTCTGGAATCACCTTGTGTGTAGGATATTAGTTTTGGATGTAGGACTGGTCTCCATGTAACAATCCTCTATGCATAAGTTTGCACTTCTTTAGAGGGATAGACCTATTATTGCTTCAGCCTAACTTGGAAGTCCATGGGAGACATAAAGAACTCCCTTTTCAAAATGGATTGGGAGCAATAAGTACTGAACCTTTCTCTCCTGCAGAACTTCTACATTGTCCTGGCAGATTGCCTAAATAACTGACAAAACTTACTGAAAACGGCCCTCAAACAAAATGTCCACTGTCCAGTGACATCACCTAGGGCTCTCATAAAAGAGAAATGCTCGGGGCTGATGACCCTTGGGGCTGGAAGTTTCTCATAAACTATCAGTCAAACAGTTTATGCCCATACCACAGCAAAATGGATTTTCCAGAAATGTTTCCATGTGGCAGGAGGTGAGGATGGTGGTTCTGTGGGTGGTATTTTCACTGCCTCCTTCCTCTTAACCATAGCCGCCTCTTGACCTGCACTGATGTATAGGCTGCTCCAGGAGACATCTCTCAGAAACATTGTAAACTTCAGAGTCAGCCTCCAATACCTCAGGGTTGTTAAAGAGTTTCTGGCATTTTCTTGGTATGGAAGGAATTTTACATGCCATGATTTAATCACATTTTTAGCACAGATTGTTACTTTTTGTCTCCTTAGGTTTCCTTTGCAGACAGAGATAACTCTTTCTTCATGTGCATAGAACACATGTAAATAGCTGTCTTGTTCATTCACTGGGATGCTTTTACTGATTTAAGCAAGAAGGACACTCTAAAACATTGCTTCTCTTTGTTCTGTGAAACTCACAGAACTCTTCCTGAGCCATTTGATGGAGTGTTTAATGTAATTTTATTATTTTCCTAAATATCATCTATACATAATAGTAGCGCAAATCTATTAAAAATGAGGCTGGAAACATAAGCACATTACTTTGCAGAATGTATTGTGAATTATTTTGATGCAATTTGGGTGTGCAACACTGCTGTTTGCAAAATTTCACCTTAGGCCTCTGTATGAAAATGAGGACTAAATATATACAGCATATCTACCTAATAAATACATTAAATATTTTTGCAAAGAAATGGCCACCTGACTCAACATGCCAGCCTGGGCTTTTAAACTAGTTGAACCTCACTTTTTTGTTTGTTTGTTTATTTTTTGGGAAAATCTTCTTCTTCTCCCCCATATGGGTGGCACATGGGATCTTTTCTGCAGTTTGCTTCAGTTGTTTCCTTGGTAGCATATTCCATATGTTTACTATCACCTTTTTTTGTCCTTTAGTAGCCTAGAGCATTTTTCTCACCAGATGATTCATGGGTATCTTTCCAGGAAATATCATTGGTCAAAAAAATTTTATAGGAGCAAATAAAACGCATTTCCAAAATAGTGCTGCCAAATAGAAAAACGTTCATTGTTTTTGATGACGAAGATATTAAAGGGAATAAAAACCTGTGTTGTTTAAAAATAACCAACTCTTTAATAGTACTGCAGGAGAATATTAAATTAAATGCAATGTAGTTTTCCAGTAAGCCTACCTTATCTTAGCTTGAAAGGATAGGTTGAATTACATTTTTTTTTCATTTCTGTTTCTCATCTATATTTTACACTCCCACCATTGCTTGCTACTATTTATATTTTATGTTAAGGATCTTTTTTTTCAGATGTTTCTAAAATTTTGCAAAAGCAGCCAGATATCATGTTGGAAACTCAAAGCCTCATATCAGGATATAAATCACAAAACCCCATACATATGCATGCCATATAAAAGGCCACTGTACTATTCTTTAGCACCCCCGTGTTGATTTTCCTTCTCTTACCCCTCACAGCAGGTAGAACTGAAGGGTCTTACCTGGCTTCTTTACTTTGCAGACTCAGAACAGAGCACTGGGTCAGACACAGAGGTGCTGGCAGAAAGGACGTCCTGCTCATTTGGCTCCCACTCTGACCTTACATCTGGTGGCTCAGGCCCTCAGCCTCCTCCACCTTCATCCATGGAAGAGATCCAGGTAGAGTTGCAGTGTGCAGACCTCTGGAAAAGATTTCATGACATTGGGACAGAGATGATCATCACAAAAGCAGGCAGGTAAGACATCTCTGGATTTCTGTCTAGTTAAAAAAGGAATCATAACCAAACAAACCAATTTTTATTTAATTGGTTTTTAAGAAAGAAAGTTTTTTATTCCTTCTTATAATCCAAAGGGATAAACATGTATAAAAATTTAAATGGCTGTCTGAGTTTCTCAGCTGTGTTTCCTATTAGCTTTCTTAAGACAAGTGAAGTTGTTTCATATGACTGTTTGAATAAGTGGCTCCAAAGGAGAAGTGGCAGCTGCAGGAAACCATTGAAGATAGTTGTTCCTTTGAGCAAATAAATCAGGAAACAATCATTGTACTGTTGACTGTACTGAATTTAAGATGAGCTATAAATTTGGGGGTGAGCCATTTGAGTCTCCTTTCAAGTTTCCATAGCGCTTCATGAGCTTATTAATTTAATCTCAAATATAGTGAAATTCAAACTCACCTTTGCACCAAGTGAATGTCTTCCTGCCGATCTAAATAGATGCAGTGTTAAAGACTTCCTGTATAAAAATTGTGCAACCCTAATACTTTCCTTTGCTATTGCAGTGATACCATGACAGCTGAGGTTAGAAAGAGCCACTAATTAGCTAGATTTTTAAAAAAGGAAAACCTCACCATGACAGGTTAGCCAAGGCAAAGATCTTCACTGCTGACCCCCATTTAAAAATGGCTAGGAGTCTGTTTGCCAAAACACAACCTAGAGGTAGTTGTACATTTCTAGGTGTCCCAAACTAGGATTTTTAGGCACGTTTGCATGAGCAGGCCGTTTCCTACCTTCACCTAATGAGGTTTAAATTCCGATTGATGTGGAGAAGGCGAACATCAGCACCACGGACAGAGCCCGCCACGGCGAGCAAACGCCGGGAGCGACCCGGGAGCTGTCCCGCCTGTGCCGCAGACATGCAGCAGGGAAATTTTACCCAAGTTTTGGGGAAAATACACCGTGCTCTATTGTTTACAGCGTTGTTTCATATCTGTGCTCTCAAATTTTTCCAGAACAGCTCGACTTGTTGTTTTACATTCTTGTGAAGTGAGTGCTATTGCTCTCTAGTCCCAGAAAGTCCAGATAATCCAAGGAAAATTACACTGGACAAATAACACAGATCATCCCTGAAAAATATTATCAGAGCCAGATTAGCTCCCAGTTTTAGATTTCAGTGGCAAAGGAAGCATTTTTCACCAGTACAGAGTAGGCTGCTGGTTTTGACCTGCCTCAAACAGAAAAGGCAAAGCAACAGGAATGATATCACCTGCTATTGTGCAACACCTCCTCTCTGGAGATGTTAAAGCAGACACAGAGACAATCATTATTATCCTCTTTTCATCGGTGGTGACATTGAGACCTAGACAGATTAAGGGATCTGTCCAGCATCATTAAATACGGCACTGGAAGAGCCATCTTCCTTCTTTCTGGATTAATTGTCCTGGTGCCTGGACCATGCTGTTTTCAGAAACTTAAAATAAAACATTATTGCCTGTTAGATTAACTATAATGAATTCTCTGATGATACATGGAGTAGATAGACCTAAAAGCAGCATAAATATGTCTTTGCCCACCAGTTTGAATGAAAATGGCTGAAATTTAATGGTATGAAGAGTGTCTTGGCAACTCACACATTTCTGAACAAAGTAGCTGATTTTTCTGACATCTTACAAGCTCCATTGTGGATAATTTTCTCACCTACAGAAGATCATGTATCACAATAGAGTCATAATTTCCCATGCAAATCATATATTCATTTTAATCCTAAATAATATCCTTTCTACTTGAAAGGAGATGCTTGTGATTACTTGAGTCCTGCTAGCCAACTGTCACATCACTGCCCACAGTAAATCTATGTAAATACAAAATAGATGTGGTTTTTCTACTCGATGATGTTCTTCTCCAGAAGTGATGTTAACAATATTGGAGTTCTGCTGTTTTTTCTTTTTCTGTTGACTACATTTGTAGGTTAATCATTGCAAACCACAATGAAGAGCTGGTCAGTTTCTTTAGGTAATACACCTGTTTATTGGGGATAGTCTTTACTGGTGTGATAGAATTTTCAAATTAAATGGTTAAACAGTTCAACAGGTTAAAGAGTTTTCTCTCAGAGACGATGTGTTTGTGATGGGTGAGAGCTGGATCTAGCAGTCCTGTTTCTCCATATGGGATGCATGATACATGGCGTGTCCCAGAGATTAGATTTTATTATTTCTGGCTTAAATAGCAGAACTGGTGTTATTTCCTGAAGATTTCCTACTACTTATTCGAATTGTTAGAGACACACAGAGTAATTTGCATCTGCTTCCTCCCCCACAGAAGATTTTACTCCTGTTGCTTTCTCTTTGGAAACCCTGAGTCCCATAAGGCCTTCTTGTTTTGAAAGCCATTATAATTACAGACTCAGTTGCCTATAACTACAGCTGCTCCTTAATTTTCTATGACTTGTAAAGCACTGCCTGGTTCCTGCCTGTCCCCACAAGGTCTCTCTGCTCTTGCTGTGTAATGCTAATTTCTAACCTACGTTCTCATTTCAAACATAGTTATGGGGCTATATCCTGCCCTGCATTTTTTGACTTTCAGACTCCTACTCTCACTCACTTCCAATTCTGCTTTGCTGTTTTTCTTGATGCTGTATTTATAGATGTCTTTTTTTTTTGTCTGTTTCCATAAACCTACTCCAGTCCTCTTATAACTCTTCCTTTTTCCTTTCCATCAAAGCATTTTTTTTTAGATTTTAATCAGATGCTTATAAAAAGACACCTTTGTTCCTTATGTAAAAGATGCAAATGGCTGTCAGCTGCAGTCATTCAAATATGCAGTTACCTTTATCTCCTTTTTGTTTGAAAGCCAACCTTGGACTCTGTACAAAATAAAATAAGTTCATCTCAAGCCTCAGGTCACACTGATTTGAACAACTAGTCCTAAAATAATTTTTAACTATTTTTCTCTACTCTCCTTTACTAACAGTGATCATGGTGGTAGCATCAGAGGAGGAATTTGAAACCTTTCCCACATCCCTGCAGTCCCTCTTTAATGTCCGTGGTCACCTGAGCTGTAGGGGTAACTGTTTGGTAACTGATGCATAGGAGTGCTGCCCAAAGTGGGGGGAAATTCCTGGGGGAATACCTGCAGGGAGTGCTTGGAGTCCTCCTCTGGAAGGGAACAGCTGCCTACTGTTTATTGAGGTGCTTTTATGAATGCTACCATGCATTCCAGCACATCTCAGAGTTACTGTTCTGGGAACACAGGTTCTACCTGTCACAGAGCTGGGACCTCACCTCAGCAATGGGGGGGGAATGAGCTCATCTGCCATATCACAGTTATTATAACTGTGCTCAGGAATGCTCAAACCAAAATGCTGATGGCCAGGATTGGTAGTAAGACTGGAAAAAGCCATCGTGAGTGAAAGAGGTGACCTTGTCCTCTCCTGACTTCTCTGTGCCTCCTGACAGGTTAAGTGGTACTTTGCCTGCAGTCTCTTTGCTTTCCTGAAATAATGAGTCTGAGCTCTTCATAGAATGTACTCAGGGCTGTTCGCATTACCAGGTGCTATTTTTCCTTTACAGTGGAAAGAAAGGTGGGTGCCAAAGAGCTCCTCAGTTAGAGAGAGCAGAAGAGATTTTGTAATCAAGCTCTGTTGATGTTGAAAGGGGCCATGGAGAGGACTTCTCATAGCAACCCATCAAACTGATTTTAGAGTTCCTGGCTCTGTGGGCCAGATAACCTTGGTACGGCTTCAAGAAGAACGTCTCCTTTGGGAGCTACTGAGAAGATCTTCTGGTCTCCTTCTCCTTCATAAACAATAAATCGATTTGCTACCAAGCCCTGCCCTCAGCTTTTCCTCTCAAAATACAATCTCTACATAATCCCGTGCTGCAGAGGGAAACAGAAGGGCATTCCTCCACTGCCTTGCCTTGCCTTGCCTTGCTTTCCTTTCCTTTCCTTTCCTTTCCTTTCCTTTCCTTTCCTTTCCTTTCCTTTCCTTTCCTTTCCTTTCCTTTCCTTCATTCCTTACACATTTGTTTCTCTAAAGAAATCTACATTTGGCTTCAATCTTAAATGCAAGGAAATATGAGATATGAAATAACAAGGATAACTTCAGGTTTCCCTGTAAACTCACATACATTGTAAACACTGTGCGTACTTAATCTGCAGACCTAAATCAGATTATTTTGCAGAGTTTCTCAAGTGGATTATTTGTATGCCTGGGAAGTGACTATTCTGTCTATTTCTTTTGCTGCATTTGAAGAGCACATCCCTTCACTTTAGGGTTTGCATTTAATAGATGTCACCCTTATACAAATCTACTCTTATCTAAGTTCCTAACTTAAGGGTAAGAAACTGAAACTTTATTCTATTGGGAAAAAACCCCAGTTTGGGGATATATCTGTGATCCTCCTCCTATGATCATTTTTTACAAAGTAAAATTAAACTGTATTTTAAAAGAAAATTTCGAATACCACCACCAAAAAATATACTGCTAGCTGCCACAACCCAACTTTTTTTTTTTTTATTTTATTGAAAGTTCCCAAACATGGTTCTTGATATGAGTACACTCCTGTGCTGGCAAATACTTTTTAACTAAGTTCTAGAGGTATTTTTCTATCATCAGTTTTCTTCACGTTTGATGTTCATAAACTCCAATCTCATTATGGAGAAAACCAGAAATTGAGTACACTGAGGCACATTGTTGTTACTAAAATGTTTTTTGAAACACTTCTAAGTGGTCCTAAATCAGTGCTAATAAATTATTTCATATCATGTCATATTTCCCCTACAAGGGTACCATGTATAAGTACACAATCTTAAGTGTTGGAGGACTGTTTTCCTGCTGAGTGGTAAAGCTAACATATAAATAACTTGATTATCCCAAACTGCTGCTGATATAGAACCTCCTCCTAAAATATATCAGATGTCATCACATGTTCCCTATGAAAAAAGGCAGCCCTCATGTCTGTAGCTGACTGAAGCTGATAGCTTTCTAGATGAAAGATTCTTGACTGTTTATTAATCCAGCCATATCGAAATGGCCTGAATTCCTTCCAAACCTTTGAGCCTCTTGTTTTTATAAGGCTGGTGCCTCTGGGCAACCAAGAGCCAGGCAAGAGGAAATGCAGAGAACAGGGACTTTACCAGGATTATACACGAGCACATCCCTAAGCCTCCACTGTTAGCCTCTGCCTTTTCCATTTCCCTCTTTCCACACAGCACTGCTGCTGTAGACCTGCTGTGACAGTTCCAGGTCACATCTTTATAGCAAAGAAACCTAAGTTGCTTTTATACCCACAGAAAAAGAAAAACAGCAGTAATTTACAAAACTTGAAAAATACACTTAAACCTTAGAGAAAGTATTGGGATCAGCCGAGCTCTCTCCGATAATTTTAGAGATTAGCCTCTAAGCCTGCTGAATGGTCTGTGGTAAGCTTTTACAAGGCATTTCATAAGCAAACAACCCCACAGGCTATACTGCAACTTTACACGGGGCTGCAGATTTGGAGAGAACTTTTTGGGACACATAGCTCATTCAAAACACAATGTGCAGATTCAGACCCAAAGAGACTCTGATTTAATCCTGGGTTTCTCATCAACCCTCTGAAACATGACCTACCTCTTTAGCTGCTCCCAAGCCACCTCTCTCTAATTAAAGAGGGCTGGACTGTAAAATGCCACATCCTGTACCCATTTGGCTTGGCAGATTTAATGAGCCATTGTGGCAGAAACAAGGTAATGCCCTCAAGCCACTCAAGACTAATCCATTATTCCTTCCCCACCTCCCCCCCAGTCATTCTACTAGCAAACTCACACCATCAGTTGCACAAATTGCTCTCTCCTTGAAGGGTTTCTGCAGACGATTTTTCTGACAGTTTTACGTCTCCCATAACTCGGGTTAGCTGTGCTGTGGCAGCTGTGGGGCAGTGCTCCCCCACCCCCCATGATAAATGCCCTTTTCCTAAGCAGATGCAGTTACTAATAGGTCAGCTCTTATCTTCTCAGGGTGGCCTTAAATGAAAGAGCTGTGGGTAAGGCAAAGGCTGAGCATCCTCCTCCTTCCCACACTCTTCTGCATGGGGCTCTATGAGGCTTGCCTGGGAAAGAATGAAATAGATGATCCTCATGATCACATCCGTGTCATGCAAAGATTGAGAGACATGCCTGGAGATGTCACAAGCTTTCCTGTTTTCTTCCTCCTCCAGGCTGTATTCACTAGCAATACTTTGAGAAACAGAAATGTTGGAAGGAGAACTAAATCTTCTTCGACATTTCACTGTTTCTCATTAAATAGAAGAGGAAGTGCCATGATGGTTTGTAGGGATGACTTTTAGAAACATTTCTTGTACACTTTCCTACTATTTTGGCATTGTGATCTTAAATTGCCCTTTAATATCCTCCCTCCATCCACATACTTCCATCCCTCAAGGATATATCTACTTATCAGAGAAGCAGAATATGATTTTGCATAATCATGCAGTACTTTTGGGGTTTCTCCTACCAAAGCTCTGTATTTTCTAGGCAGAAGCAATTTAATTGAGTAACACCATCCTGTAGGACTTCAGCTTAAGGTTTTCTCAGATAAAGGCTGAAAAGCCACTTAGGTAGAGCTCAGGTATGGGTTAACAGTCAGTGAAACAATGCAGGATTTCTTTCAGTGCTCTGCTCTGATTTCAGGGTTGCTCAATTCCTCCTGCACCTCATTCAGTTCGGCTCCTCAGATTTTATGAAGGTGTAAAAATACCACATGAGTTAGAAATATAATATGGCATAAGTAATTTCCTCAGCATGCTCTTTGAGGGAGGTGTTGAATAGAAATTGGTCTACTGGCCACCATAAAATTTTTAAGAAGGAGAAATTATGCCATAGCCACACTAACACTAACATGCTTTAAGGTTAAAATTGTTGTGATCTGTTCTCTTCTGAAATAATTGCCTAGCTACAAACACTTCCACAACAGTGACTGTGTTTAGCAGAGCTCAACTTGTGCTCAGACAAGAAGAAAAAGGCTGGGAATTGTTTCTTGTTGGTTTAGAGTTCCATACCTTGTCTATCAGGAGAAAATGCTTAAGATAGATCTGGATCATATGGCATAGAAAAGACAACATCTATTAAAAATATTGCACTACCAGGAGCTCAAGGAAGCCATGACATAATGCCAGTGTTTCTGCTGAATGTGAAGTACTTTCCTAAAGAATAGATTAACTTGAGGGATGTTTTTCTTAAATAACTGCAAACATGAGAGCCACAGGATCTTTCAGGATGATGCATTTGCTTCAAATGTTACCTCAATACTGTTAAACTCTTTACTGAAATGTGACATTCTCAAAAAAAGAGAATTAAAGTGATCCTGCATTTAATGGAATATGAGAGAAGAATTACAGGTGGATGGCCAGTGGGAAAAACACAAGGTACACTGCCCATCCTAGGAATGCCTTAGAGAAGATGATTAGTGTGAAGCGTAGCAGAATTGTCTGCTAGAAACTGGGAACAGAGTGCTTGATTGTGAGTATTTTATCATTACTTAACGGTTGTTATCCTGTTACCTCTTTTTCTAAGTGGGAAAAACCTGAAGATTCAAAGCACTGCCAGCACAGTCTTTTCTACCCACAGCAAGCCCAGAGGAGTCATGCCAAGGACTGGGCTGTGTAAGGAAGCACACTTCTGGTGCCAGAGAGCACAAGGAGCCTCTTCAGCTTCCTTATTCACCATTTTCTTCCTTATTTCTACTCTTATTTTCCTAGGAGAATGTTTCCAGCCATGAGGGTGAAAATTACAGGCTTGGATCCCCACCAGCAGTATTATATTGCCATGGACATTGTCCCTGTGGATAACAAGAGATACAGGTAAGCTTTTCAGGGGCAGAGGAAGGAATCTTGTACCAGCTTTGCTGTCAATGACAGCCTAGGACAGACGCCTGCATTAAACACCATTGCAAACATGGGCTGGAGGAGACCCTACTGATTTAGACCAACATAGCTGATTTGACCAGCATCTTTAGACACAAACTCAGAGTTTTAATACATTCTCTTGCACTTTTGGAGTGAAATCTTTCTCTTTTCAAGTAGCAGATTTAATTGAGGAGACCTCTGCCATGCATTTCCTGATTGACACAATTAGCAATGACTGTCTCAGGGAACTGCAGTTATCAATGGGGATTATCTCCAGGGGCTGAGTTATCTCCAGCCCCTAAATCTACTTCCTCAAAAAAGGAATGGGCAAGGAGCAGCTTGGAACTAAGCCAGGCCCTTCAGGTCTGGCCTGAACTGGATTGGGTGATTTCTGTTTCAAAAGTGCTCACTTTTGTGTCCAGCACAGCAGCCCCAGTGAATACTGGTCCCTGATCTACAGTTTGGAGTCTCTGAGAAACTTCCCACTGCTGAGCTAAAGACAGGAAGAGGAGATTTCTCTCATATTAATGGGCTTCTGATCTTAAAAAATACTCTGGAAAACTCATGATCCTCTGCATCCCAGAAAACTCTCCAGACTGATGTGATTTATGTATTCTTATTAAAAGGCCCCTGAGAGCAAGTCTTTTCTCCAAACAGTCTTGACTGAACCACATTTCAAGGATTCAGAATTGAACCTCCGCTTCAAATGCTAAATACTACATTTTTCTTCCCAAATTGTACAGAGTTCTTTCTCAGGAAAAATGCTTTTCCTGGGAAGCAGAAAGACAGTGTTTGATGCTCAGCTGGATGGTTTTTTTTTCCTCTTTCTAAGAGTGTTCTAGCAACACTGACATTGAAAATACATTTATTTTCTTGCCCTGCTTGACTTGTGCAGCCACATAGAGCAAATTAACAGGAAAGGAAAAGACCCTTCATTTTTTTTTCTTCCCCCCCCCCAATTTCTTGTGACAATACAGGAAATTAGTAATTGTTTGTAGGTAAAGAGACTGGGGCATCTTAGTAGAGACCCAATGAAGGGCAGCACAGGGCAAAGCTCAGAGGTGTCATTAGAACTGTTTGTGAAATGCCTTTGAGAAATGCCTTTGAGGGAAAGAGCTGCAGATCAGGAGAAAAAAGTGTCTAGACAAAGCTGTGGTAGAGAAATTTATGGCATATATAGGATGGCTAGAACAGGAACACAAAATTTTTTTTTCTAATCTCAATGTATGTAATGCTATATGGAATTCCCTTTTTTGCAACATTTCAAACCAGAAATTCTGTTTTATCAATTGTTTTACTGGTATCTATTGGATATTGTCCATTCTGGGTGAAGCCACACGTATCTTCCAAAGTCTGGTATGAGATACAATGAAGATTTCCAGAAATTGCAGGGTATTTATTAATAATTTTCAGAGAGGACTTTGTTTACCATATTTTCCAGCCTCTTACTCTGGCTCAGAGAGGGTTAAGGAGTTGAGAAGGCACATGTGGCAGAGTTTTACAGGGAAAATAACTGCAAGGTGGTTTTAATAAGGAATCAAGTCTGAACAAGTGGCTCAGGGGTAATCTGGCTTTCATTTAGAAGGTAGGAGGTTGCAATAAAGCACATTCTCCCCTGACTGCAAATGAGAGCTTGGGGTGCATGAGGGTGGCAGGGAGGGGGGAGCCCTGGACGTGTTCCTGCAGTGAGTGAAAACCTCCCTTAGCCACCCACCCTTCCTCTTTCAGGTATGTGTACCACAGCTCCAAGTGGATGGTGGCTGGCAATGCTGACTCCCCAGTGCCCCCCAGGGTTTACATCCACCCTGACTCCCTGGCTTCTGGAGACACCTGGATGAGGCAGGTGGTCAGTTTTGACAAGCTCAAGCTGACCAACAACGAGCTTGATGATCAAGGCCATGTAAGTTAGAAGTTAATCCTGGTGCCTGCTGTCCTAGCCTTGCTCCTCTCAGACTTGAAAGGGTGCTGCTGCTGCTTTGATGCTCCTGTGTCCTGTTGGGCACACGTGTCTGTGGTTGCTTCCAGATTTATGGAGGGTTTTTTTTGCTATTTCAGTGCTTTTCTTCAAAATGTTGCCTGACCCTATAAAGCACTTTTCTCTTTGCTCACAGCACAGACTTTGTCTCATACATGCTTGTAAGAAAAGGATAATTTTCTCCATATTAACTCTTACTCCATCCCTGCTCTCTTGTACATCTGGATGTTGTGTAAAATATTTTGGGGGAAAGAAAAGTCCTTTTCTTTTTGTTTTCTTTTCAGATAATCTTACATTCAATGCATAAGTATCAGCCTCGTGTTCATGTCATCCGCAAGGATTTCAGCAGTGATCTCTCTCCGACAAAGCCAGTTCCTTCAGGAGATGGGGTGAAAACCTTCAACTTCCCTGAGACTGTTTTCACCACAGTGACAGCCTACCAAAACCAACAGGTAAATCCTTCATGCTCCTTTTATGTTGTGCCTTCACAAAAATAATCAGAGTGCTCTTTGTGACTGAGACGCTAACTTCTCTGAGAAGCATAGAAAAGTTACACTTTACAAAAACAAAAAAAAAAAGAAAAGAAAATGCTTGCTTGCTCTGGGGTATTGTGTAGACATGAAGTATCTAGCTAGGAAACTCCCTTGAAGATAAGATGGCTGTAGCTTTTATTGTAAAATAAGCAACTAAGAGCAACTGTAAAGAGATGTGTTGTGTTCAAATTTCCTTGCTACCTCATGGTACAAAACTAGAGTATCCTATCCTCACTATAATTTTAAGGCAGTACAGCTATAACTCCAGATCAGTTCTCTCAAAGACAAAGCAGTTGGGTTTTTTATAGCAGTGAAGGAAAAAGTTTTGAAAAGGCCCAATCTCATCAGTTTGTTGACAAAATAAGCCTTTGAATGCATGTATTGCATATAAACTGAAATTCTCATGCATGCATGTCTTGTGCGATAGGGGTCAGGTAAGGGGTCAAGTTATGCGCCCGAAATTTAGGAAAGTAAACTTCCACTTCTGCAAGGAGATGGTCATTAGGATCTCCTGGGAGCCTGCCCTTAGGAACAGGGCATGGAGCAGAGTAGAGGGGGCAGATCTCTAAGGGAGTCTTCAATACAGGCCAACAACCAGGAGCCAGAAATCAGACAAGGAAGTCAAGAGAGCAGCATGGCTGAGTAGGGACCTGCTGGGAAAACCAGATGGAAAGAAGCAAATGCACAGGCAGTGGAAATCAAGACAGGTACCCTGTATAGGGACTGGGTGAGGAAAGTCATGGCAAAGCTGGAACTAGACCTGGTAAGGGATGCAAAGCATAACAAGAAGGGATTCTACAGTTAAGTTAACCAGGAAAGGAAGGTTAAAGAAGGTGTACCTCCCCCTGATAACCAATGCTGGAAAACTGGTAACAACTGATGGGAAGTCTGAGGTACTTAACACCTTTTTTTGCCTTAGTCTTCAAATGAGTGAGTCCTCTCTTCTCGTACATCTTGAGAGGATGGACAGCAGGATGGAGACTGGGTAAGCAAAATGCTTCCCACTGTAAGTAAGGATCAGAAAAGAAGGCTTTGGAGTGACATAATTGCAGTCTTCCAGTACCAGAAGGGAGCCTACAAGAAAGATGGAGAGACTTTTTACAAGGGCATGTAGTGACAGGTTAAGAAAATGGTTTCAAAGTGGAAGAAAGTAGGTTAAGTTTAGATATTACAAAGTAATTATTTACGGTAATGATGGTGAGGCACTGGCATAGGTTGCCCAGAGAAGCTGTGGATGCCCCATTCCTGGAAGTGTTCAAGGCCAGGTTGGATGGGACCTTGAGCAACCTGGTCTAGAGGAAGGTGTCCCTGCCCATGGCACATGGGTTTGAACAAGATGATCTTTATGGTCCCTTCCAACCCAAAGCATTCTGTAATTTTATGATAATTTGTGTTTGAGTTGGATCTTGCATAGTTCTCAGTGATGAGACTTAGTATTGACTTTAGATACCATAAGGAAAAGATGTCACCACAGCAGGACACTTTCTCTAGGGACCTTGACTTTGTTAGTGATCTACACTTTTCTTAAACTAGACTTCAGTCTTCTGGGACTGAAGGACAGACCCCTATTAAATCAGCTTAAGGCAGATTGCAATATTTGACCAATTTGTAACAACTGTGAATTCTAACAATTTAGTGAAATGCTACAGAGTTTTTTATTTTGCAATGCATAAGAGAGCACAGGTGCAGACAGTGCTCCCATGACTGCTTCTTTTTCTTCCCATGACTCCCAGCTTTTTTTTTCCAATCTGGTCCCCTTGAGTTGACTTAAATCAGGATCCAAAAAGGATCAAAAACATTGCAACACACTGGTGGGTTTGCTATCATTGCAGTATGGGAAACTTCCTGCCCCCCTTGTCCAAATGCCGATACTCCATAAATCTTGACTGTAGATTAGACAAAGAAGGAGGATAGGGAAAGGAGAAGAAATTACAGGAATTATGCCTGTCATTCTTCCTTAATGACTGGAATTATAAGACATAATTACACAGGGAGGGAGATGCTAAAGGAGGGATCCCTGTCAGGGATTGGCACCATAAGCTGCCTCACCATAAGGAAACGCTGACATTTCTGTCTCTCTGAATTCCAAATGTTTGGGAATTTTGTTCAAAATGATCTGGGGGACACAATCACATTTTTATAATACCAGTAAGGAGATTCTGGTGGGCTGGAGAAACATTTTCATTAAAACCAAATCTAAATCCCCTGAATCGGCCTGCATGCCCTCCAGTGGCTGCAGAGTGTTGCCTTACTGGGGGAAGCGTCTCTGGAAACAATTGTAAAATGTTAGCAAATCCACCACAGGGATTCCCTCTGCTGTAATTCCATCCTCCACAGAACATATCTGTCTCTGTACACACAAGTCCCAGGACAGCTGCAAAGTCAGGCTAGCGGAAATTAAGTTCACAAATTAAGCTTCTGCAAAAATAGGAGCTGCATTCCAGATCTGAGGTTAATATCCAGAGTAAGGGCTTGGTTCTGACAGAAGCAAAACACCTGCAAATCCCCTTCAGATCAGACTGCATTAAACTAGTCCCTTTTGAGCAGTTTCAGCAAAACCACCTCAAATTTGGTAGGATCTGGAGATCTCACTCTTCTTTCATTCCAAACATAGAATCTCTAGGACAAGCTGAGGTTGGCAGAGGGAAGTTCTTGTGCTACACTGGGTTGTGGAATAGCCAACAGGGAGTATAATACCACAGGCTGCAAGGTCAAACTCCCAGTGTTATAGCCTGTATTTACCAACATGGAATTCATGCTTAAAAATAAAGCACGAAGGAAGATTCCCCCAAAGCACTCAGTCTGGCTTCTACCTCCTTTGTTTAGAGGAGGGAAACAAAAAAAATTGAAAAATTTACGGACCAGAAAATTCTTGAGGGCTGCCTTGATGCTGACCAGAGCAACAGCGATTTGTATGTGTCCCTGGGTGGCCACCTGACATCTTTGGGGGCTCTTGCCTGTGCTTTTCTCTTCAGCATTGTTTGAAGGTCCATCAGTTGCCTCCAGCTGCTGGATATCTGGAGTGTTGAGGCTGAGATAACTCAGATAGCAGCCAAACTTGAGCAGTGTGCCTGCTTCCTAAAGCACGTGGCCACTGATAAATAACAACTCCTGGGGCTTTGCAGCTGGTGTACTTCTACTCCAGGAACAGTTTCTCAGCCCCAGCACTGTGCCAGGTTTCCTAATGGTGCCATGATTTCTGTCTCTGGTGACATGTTTTGATAAGCAGATTATCTGTTCATGGATAATGGAAGGGCACATTTGACAGAGGTCTGGGGAAATAAGTGTGAAAGATCATTGTAGAGGTGGCTTGGGCAAGAATGGAAATAATCCAAGTTTTTCATTTGTTGAAAGAAAAAAAAATTGAAGATATCAATTAATTCTCTTTTTCTTCCTTTTAGATCACCAGATTAAAAATTGATAGAAACCCCTTTGCCAAAGGTTTCAGAGATTCTGGGAGAAACAGGTAACAGAATCTTGTTTGTGTTTCCTCACTGATCTCTTCCTTTCTTTCCCTGATGGGTGCACAGGGCATATGTCTATGGTTGAGAAAGGCAATTTTAAAATTTTTTAATTAAAACAGAGAACAGAGATAGAAAAATGGTGCATAGCAGATTGTAAAACAGACAAATACGTCACAGCCTAACACTGTGCAAAATAATTATTCTTTATTATATGTAGAGTTGGCTGAAGGACACTTTTAGATTTTAATTTTCACAGGAAATGCCAAAACTTGGAGAGCAAATTCTTGCTTTATGTTAGAAGAAAAAATTAGTTTCTCATAGGTGTGCAGGATAAAAGTGCAAAAATGTTCTAGTTTCAAATAATTTCAGTTTTTATTCAGCAGTGTCCAATGGTTTCACTTTGACTGTGTTGCTTAATTTTGTCTTTCCCATAATGATTTTTATGGGAAGATTCGGTAGAATGCCTTAAATATTATTTAGAAGAAATTATATTTTAACAGCACAGTAGTTAAAATGGAGCTTTAATCAATCTCCCCATTGTATTACTAAAAGACATTACAGAGTTATCAAAAAAGGTAACTAATCAAAAAAATAAAAAAAAGTTTCAACTTTTTCTGCCATTCATGAATCCTGCAGCAAAATGTGCAGCAGATCTAAATATCTCAGATCTAAATGGTGTAGGTATCCTTTACATCAGTGTAACAAAGGCTTTAAACCTTAATTATACAATTAGACATATATGACTACATTACAAGAAGCCTAAAGCAAAGCTCTGAGTTTGCAGCCCAGGGTAAAAGCTGTGTGCACAGCCCTCATTTGCTGTCCCCATGGGTGCTGTAACTCAGTTTTACTTGCATGCTCCTGTTGTGTGTGTTTACCAGGACTGCTGTCTCCTTCATAAGGAGTTTGGTGAGGTCAGTGCTCATGAATGGGCAACTGCCCTGTGTTTTCCACCACTCACTTCAATGCTACACTCTCCATCATCCCAAAGAATGGACCTGACCTCAGCTCCTCTGCTCTCATTTTACTGAATTTATGCATGAAGATGTCGCCACTCTCATTTAATCCTTGCTGTGATCACCAGTTCTCCTTGAGGCATATGTGGCTTTTATTCTGCTCCCCTCTCCCGTGTGGGGAAAGCAAAGTGTGTCCTGGGTGTGGGATCTTCCCGGTGTGCACAGATCCAGCTGCACTGGGGGCTGGGTTTGGGAGAGGGATTGATGCCGTTCCAGGTACATGGTGGGCTGTATTAATGTGGAAGGCATTAATAAGGTCCTAGCTCAGTGAATTTGGACAGTTTCCTGAAAAGGTTGGGAATTGCTGATCTCTGTAGCTCATTGATTTAAGAAAGGGCAGGAAATTGCTACACGGCTGCAGCTGTGGGGAGGGCTCAGTAAGGCTCTCTGCTGATGTAAAGAGGAATTAAAATCTTTAAGGTATTACACATCAAAGGGAGCAGCCTGAGGCTTTAGGAAGAAAAAAACAGGCGAAGGTATTTGCAAGCATATATAGCAGTCAGGCGCCTGCCTCACAAGCAGGGGTCTGGCTGCAGTTGCACTGCTGTTGTCAGCTAGGGGAGGACACAAATGCTCAGCTGCCTCCTTCCCAGAGCACACATACACAGATAATCCCATAGGAGGGAGGAAAGCATTGAAGTCCAAGCTGTGTGTGGAAAGGACTTTCCAAATGGGACTTTCCTTTACTGTGCTGGATGGCTTTTCCCTCCCTTGTGAATCTGTAATCTCATTAGGATCACTGGTCAAAAACCAATTGTGATACTCTGCAACTTCCCACGTCCTTCCCACAGCTTCAGTCAACTGCAGTGCCTCAGACTGTGGCTGGAGAGGGTCCTGCTGAAAATTAAAATTTCTCCTTTGCAGAAGAAATAGGGTAATTTGAAGAAGGGCTATTTGCGAATCAGGCAAGTGAGTAGTACATGTTCAAGAGGTTTTATGTATAAGTACTTAAAAGAAAAAATAAAGGTGTGGCAGCAGCAAGAGACAGAGACAGAATTCTGAGGCAGCTCCAGGACATCCTATTCCAGAGACATTGGATACTGAGTCAGAGCCATGGTTAGAGTTTGCCAGGAAATGATGGAGGAAAGAACTCCCAGGGAAAAAGCAGTGCATGGTGGAAGATAAGGAACTCTTAAGCCACTTCTTTCCTAGGATATTTCCTTTCTACTTTATGTTGAGGCTCTTCCATTAAATGGAGATGGATATTTTTCCTCCACTTATTTATTGTTATTGTTTCATTGCTGTCTCCTGCTGCAGAAATTGTGGAGGTGACTGTCGTTTTTAAAACTAGCTTCCATTTTGGATCTTTCACTTCATCTGCTTACAGCCTGCCCCTTTATTTCCTGTGATCTCCCTTCATCAGTGCAAGAGGCGGCTAAAACCCTGCTGCTCTGGGGATGCCCCATCATAGTGTGACTGACTGTATCCATATGGGGAAGCAGACTTTTCCCAGATCCTTTCTTGGATCTCTGTCACTTATTTTCATGAGTGTCTCTCTCCAGTCCTTACTGCCTCAGCCTTTGAGCTGGGAGAAGGAGCACTGAGGTGTTTCAGAGGGAAGGATGGAAACAGCTCAGCAGCTTGCTGATGTTAAGCAGCCTTTGAGCACTCAAACCATGTTAAGCAATGGGGTTCAGGAATCTAACCATGAGTCTTGTTGGATGGCAGAGATAGCCTGTGTTTGAAGGTTAATCCTAGTTCATGTTTATTAGAGATTCCCTCTATCTGATTTTTTTGCTTTCTTTGCCTTTTGCAAAAGCATATAAAGTCTCTGTAGAAATGCAACAAGAGAAGTTCCTGATGTTGGAAGAGAAGTTTCCTGGTGGTGAAAGGATACCCACATAATGTATGAATAAGGCAGGTTATTACTTGGTTGCTTTCCTGAACTTCAAGAGATTGAGTAACCGGTTTTTAACATATGGAGCTCAGCTAGCCAAATGTTTGGGTAGTGAGGGTGCAGGTTTAATGCCACAGAGATTATTTTTAGAGACTGGGTAAAGTTCATCTGACAGTGGGATGCTTGCAGCAGCTCCTTATCCAGGAGGAAGCCAGAAGGGAAAACAGTCAGGACACTCAACAGGGTGATGGAAGAAAAAGACCCTAGGCTGAAGGAAAAGCCAGCACTTTCCATTCAGATGTGGGCAGCTGAGGTGAATAAAGTTGTTTGTTTGGAAATACTCTTTGAGCTTTGCCTAGGATAAGAGAGCCAGGAGGACACTTGGAGCCAATAGTTTGGCTTCCCCAGCAAACAATGAAATGATGGCCTGAATCCTGTGTGCAGTGGGAATGGCAAGATCAGCCATATGGGATAGATTATGGAGGTGCACAGATAGCTCGTTTCATTTTTCAGACAATGGAACTGTTTCATTTATTGCCTATTATTAAAACTTTATAGCACTAAAAATAAAAGAATGAATGAAAAAGAGAGAGCAAATTTTGGATACCTTTTAAAGCACTGACCTTATTAAAAAAATGCTGGCAGTGAGACCTCTTCTGATACTTTTTTTTTTTACTTCCTTCATAAAGATGGTGTGAGAGGGAAGGGTTTATGGTCTGATAGATATTTTGAAGTTAATTTTTCAGTGCAGGTCCTTGGAAGAGAAAGTAGATGCCACATGGATAATGTTCAGCACACTTGGTATCAGCAACCCTCAGCAAAGGCCCTCCAAATTTCCTGACATTTCAGAAACACTGAAAACAATTATTTTTTGTCAACATTTATTATTGTCCCAAAATGTCTCTTCATTGGCCAGGTGGGGATCCTTTTCCTTGTTAGGGGGTGGAACACACACACAGAATGGCACTCCAGTACTTCTGCTGACTGTGGGAGCACACCAATGGCATGAACTGCTACAGGAGAGGCAGTTATTAGAGTTGACGGGGATTAAACTTCATGATTCCCATCTCATCCGCTCAACATTTTCCTTCAAAAATAGGAATTCATTGCAGACAGAAGAAAGGCTGGGGCTAGGGCTGTAAAATCAGTACACAAAGGTGGTGTGCCTTCTCACCAAGAGCTGGTTTTAGCATGAATTAATGTTTTTTTCCTCTGCAATACTCCATTCATAGTGTGGTAGGTGCCTAGGTGGTTAGCACATGAAGCTGCTCTCATGGCTCTTGTCTGATACCTGAAAGGATGTGAAAATTCAGTAAGGATGTCTTCTGCTTAGAAGCTGTTTTAAAAACACCCACAACATTTTTTTTCTGCATGAAGAAAAAGAGCCCCAAAACCCAGAAACCAAAGATAAAAAAAAAAAGAAACCCACAAACTAATGGGAAAAAAGGTTGGTCTAGTATATAGAGGCTTGAATTTGTGCGTAGGAGAAGTGGACATAAGTTTGATCTCTGTTACCCACATGCTCAGAGAGGATATTTTTATACACATGTTTAACATATGCAAACTTGTGGGGAGTAAAGGACTCACATTTGGGGCAGGAAGAGTCAGCTGTGGAGTTTGACATTCATTCTTCAGGTACCTGTGACACCACGCTGCCCTCAGCTTTGCAGGGCAAGGCCACACTGCTGCTGCCAGCAGTCACGGTGTGGAAGGGGAAGGGTGGCAGGAGCTGTGTTCACAGCAAGGGGGATGTTGTAGAACTGCTCCCCTGGAGCAGGAGGAGGTAGGTCCCTGTTGGTGTTGGCATCTTTGCTTCCTCTGACATGCAGGGCAGGAATAGAGCAGCTTTACAAGCTGCTCTGACACTCTCAGTGCTGCCATTTACCCCCTATCAGCTCACAGACCCAGTCAAGTCCAACCCTTGAAAGCAATATATTATTCCCAATTTACTGTTTTATTTCTTCTTTTTATTAAGTCTTGGCTATTCTCTTTTTTTTCCTTTTCTTTTAGAAGCAGAAATTATATGGTGCCTTTGAGAATTGTATTGATATAGGGGAAAGTGTTAGATGGAGAGCTAGAAACCTTGAATCGCGAGTCAATTGATGAGCTGATAATGATGTAGGGAGAGGCAAGGGTAATAGATTTAATCTACTTTTAGTGCCTCCATGAGCCACCTCCTACTAGGGACAGGATTTCACTGAAGTGAGATGTGAGACCAGAGCTGGAGCGCAGTGCTGGTGCAAAGTGGGGTTGTGTACCTGGGGACCTAAGGACTGAGCCAGCCAGTGTGTCACTGCTCTCAGTAAGTTGGCCTCCCTGCTTCCCCACGCGATCCTGTGGCAGACACAGAGCAGCTGGAGTAGCACAGCTGGAACTTTCAGTCTGCATTTCTGATACATTACGTGGTTCTAATCATCAAGGCAGGTCCTTTCAACAGCAGGTCTGGCTGCATTGCAACTTGCTCAGGGCATTTTATGCCCCCTGGATCTACAGTACCAGAAAGTCTTCCCTCAGTGTTTGGGCTGGGGATCATTTCTTGCGGCTGCAAAAAAGGTACTGTTCTCTTCCTGGCTGTGTGTGTTGAGTAGCAGATGGAGTCTGAACATGTGTGACTTTCACACACAGGGAGCAGAGGAAATCCTGGGGGTGGTAGTGGTAGTCAAAGGGCAGCTCCTGCACACAGAGCACAGCTTAGCTGATGGGCTCAAATTCTGCCCTGCCTTGTTGCATCTGAGCTCCATGAGCTGGCAGAGGCCACTGTATTAACCAAATAGTTTTGTTGTAATGTGCTCAGCGCTAGTGTGAGACTGCTATGCAGAGATGTCTTCTGTTTCTACTTCTAACAGCTTAGCAGCTAATAAACACCATGCAACAACCTCTCTTCTAAACCTCCTCTTAAAATACAGAGTTTGGTTTGCCAACTCCAGTGTATTTAAAGCATCCAGGCTTCCGGGGAGACTTTGGAAAGTTAACTGAGTGAGTGGAGGCATGTGCAGAAAGACATTTTCAGAAGGAAAAGGCAGCTCCAGTGTCAGCGCAACATCTGATGGGCGGCTCTGGGGATGTTGTGCCTTTTGCATTGAAAGGGGATATGTTCTCGCATTTGATGAAGAATCTCTCCTGGTATTCAGTCAGTGCAAGGGCTGTAACCTACTGTGGGGAAACAGGCTGGGGAAGGTGAGGAATGGGGAACAGAGCGGTGTACAGCTTCCACTGAGGAGAGCTTTTCCTGGGAAGAAACTCCAGTGGGTTTTATAACACACCTCTGTCCTCACTGAGCCTGTGGCACTAAGAGACTACCATCAGAGCTAGGAGTTTGTGGTGACAACAAGAAAAAATCTGAGACCCCAGCCTTTCAAGAAGAAAAATTCTCAATCGGTTTTTGGCTTTTTCTCTTTGATAAGTGTTTTTGGTGAGTTAGGGACCCAAAGCAGCTATATCACTGGCCTTTTAGAAAGAGCATCTTACACATTTCTGGTTGAAGTTCAAAACCAAGAAGATTCCCTTTTTGATGGCTTCTCATAGCACTTGGAACAGTGTCCAGAACTGTGAAGTGGCAGGGAAAGGCAATTCGCAAAATCTCTCTGATTAAATAGTCTGAATCCCAGGCCTTCTTTATTTGCACGACAGCTTACATCCAAAATTGTGGAGGGCCACTCAATGATAAATTGAGTACGCCTTAAGGAGCTGACAGTTGTGTGTCCTCTGGAAAGCAGACAGAAGGCTTGAGATTCTTGCTAGAAAGGAAAAAGGCATTTAGAGACCGTTAGGAACTTTTGAAATCCTGGGCTGGGGAAATTTCATTTTACTCTCGTGGCCAGCACCTGTGCGGGAAGACTCACTTGAGGAATTCACAGATGCCAAGGTGACATTTCAGTGGCCGCTGGCAGCTTGCCAAGCAAGGTCAGAGCCTTCTTTCCTCAGCGCCTGTATCCCCAGCTGGTTGACGTTCTTATTCACTCCTTCTTTTCTTTCCTTTGCACAGGACGGGGCTGGAGGCCATCATGGAGACCTACGCCTTTTGGAGGCCCCCCGTGCGCACTCTCACCTTTGAAGATTTCACTACCATGCAGAAGCAGCAAGGTGAGTGAACAAAGAGATGGCAAGAAAGATTGTTCTTTCTCCTGTAGAAAGAGTAGGAGAAGAGGGCATAAAAGCAGCAATGCACACACTTTGCTGTGTGTCCAGCGAGTGGAATGGGGATGTCACACATTGTTGAGCTCTCGGCTGAAGTGAGAGGACACAGAGCAGAAAGAGGGATGGAAACAGTGGACAGGCCATGTCTTATGAGGTGCAATGGAATCGCTTGGGTTCCCTGGTCTCCCTAGAGCTAGAGTCCTAAGAGCTAGAAGGAGGAGCAGGAAGGATTGTAGGGTTGGGCAAACCAGCCCAAGTATACAGCATGAGTTAAATGTGAAGAGAGCATAGAAAGATTGAGGAAATGCTCAGCTGTGTCAGACAATGTTCTCCATTTACAGTTTACATTTGCCATTTGTATGCAAACACAAGGGGAAGTAGTGGAGTGGGGGTGGGATTTGCCCTCTGGAAGTTTTAGGAGACCAAGAGTATGTCTCCCTTTGGGGTCATGCTAGCCTGATTTCAAAACACAGTGGCCTTGCTGGAGACACTTTCTGCTAGTAAGAATCTGGGAGGAATTATTGGATAGACCAAGTGTTCATGCTGTGTCTTTTCATAGCTTCTGCCCTTTACATATCTCATTAGTTAAGTAGGGCTTTCATCTCTAGTTTCAGGCTTTGTTGCTATTTTGCTTTCTGCAGAGGTAGGTCTTTCCCATTCACTTTAGTGCAGCTATTTCTAGTTAAAAACAGTGATCACTGAGAAAGAGTTATCAAGGCAGCAGCCTGATACTTTTTTTTTATTACAATGTACATTCAAGAAAAGAGACAATTCAAAATGGTGTTCAAATGTGACACCAGCAAAGGTAAGCAATCAACACCAAATGCCTTTCCTGTGTAGCAGATCTCCTGCTCTCACATTCAAGCTTGACATCACCCCCAAAACTTCCCTCCAGACCTTGAATCCACCTAGGGATGGATGGTGTGTTCTCCTCAAGATGCAGGGAAGCAGCGGTGGCTGCTGGGGTTGCCCATCACCGAGGCAGAATCAGAAGAGTGTTCAGCTGAGGAATCTCTTCTTGCTTGTTGATTGTCCCCCATGGATTGCCAGTTCTACATGCAACACCCCAGGGCCCACATCACCTGCTAAATAATTTTTCTGATGGCACAGCACAGAAGTAGGACAGAGCACACTCCAGCCAGCTCTGTTAGACTCCCCGTGCATGGTCCTCACCTGACCACCCAACTCCTCTTGAATAGCACACCATGGGGCAGGAGGGACTTTGCACAAGCTCAGGGGCTTGTGTCGAGGAGCACTTGTGGTGGGGCACGTGGTCAGAGATGAGTTAGAGCAAGGGTTTAGAAATGTTTTCATCGCCCACCTAAATAGAAACATAACAGCCTCTCCTCCTGGTCACAGTCACTGAAGCAGCCTCTCTCCAATGTCTCACCCCCTATCCAGGATGGCCAGCCTCCCTCCCCTCAGTTATCAGATAACATCCTAGTGCCAGGTCCAGCTACTGCTTACGTGGTAAGGTAATATTAGGAAAGGAAACTATTTAATGTATTTTTAGCTTGTTATAATATAGTTTGGCAGCTGAAAAGCCAGAAAGCAAGCCAGTACCCTGTAACCAGCAGGCCCTGTGCACCACCACCGCTGCACCAGAGACAATAAAGCCTAGGGCAACCCTTAACTGAAGCTGTGTTCACAGGTTGACCTCAAAACCAAATAACTCATTACAAAAGGGTTTTTGAGCTCTGCATTTAGCCATATGAATTAATAAATCAGAAATATTCCAACCCTCACAGTGCTCATCTCTCTGGTAACTGCTGTAATGAGCTGACCCCTGGTCTCAAAAATAGGTGCAAAGCTAAGGTACAAACATGCTCTATTTTAATTTCTGGCTGCTGGGACAGCCCCCTAAGGCAAGGACAAACATGCTGGTATGGAGTCCTTGGAATTGCTGACAGAAAGAGCAAAAAATGCTGAGGTGGCTTTAAGCCACATGTGATTCCCCCCTCCAAATGTAAGACAACCAGGATATATCATGCTCACACCTCTTCGTCTCCTTGTTTTCAATCACACGAGCTGGGTGACAGGTGAGTAAATCACTGCTGTTTAGGAGCTGACATCAGCATAAGCCATTGAACCTCTGATCCTCTGAGACTTTACATTGACGTGACTTGCCCCAGAGTTTCCTCCTCTCCCTCATCTGGAGCTTCAGTGCTCTGAACTGCGTGGTGTCATCTCATACCCTTATACATTTATGAATTAGAAACTTTAAGTTTTTTTTTTTAATAAACTGATATTTTAATTCCAAATCCTGCTGGTTTCATCAAAGCTGGGTGGATATCTGACATTTCTGAATAAACATTTGAGGAAATGCAAGCTTTCCTTTTATCCCCTGAAATGTTTGTTGGGAAATTGCATGGGGGCTATGGGAGTAGATGTGTGCACTGCAGCTAAAGAGCAGTGAGTTCTCACTGCACAGAGACAAGATGAGGGCAGCAAGAGTGGCCACATGCCTAGACTGATGAGAAGCAAGCCATGGTTATCCAGCCTGTGAGGAGAGAGAGAATAGATAAAAGTACTAAAATAAGATGCTGTCTGTGGTGATAGGAAAAAATACAGTAGGTTCTAGTTACATGAAGTTTAAGGATGTGCTGTAACAGTTTCCCTGTAGGAACTGTGGAATTCAGTTTTGATTTTCCAGAGACGGATCCATCCTACTGTAATAGGAAAAATTACACTCTCTGGGGCAAAAATTTGGGGCATCAGCCGCATAAATATGGTGTCTTCCTTGCTTTCAAGCTAAATTCTTCTGTGCTACCTGAATTTTCCAAGATAGTTTTGCCTAACAAATCAACTGAATTATTTGGCCAGGTTAGAGATTTGACTGATAAAAATAACTGTATAAATGTGATGTTTTTTTGGAGAGCATTTCATTTACTGCCACATGTGCCAGTTTCAAAAAGCTAGTGTGTATTCTGAAATGAGGAGCTAACTGATCTCCAAGCTGACAACTACAAACATGCCCTCCTGTAAGGACAAACCCAGTATTGCTCTGCAGAGTCTGGTTCCAGCACTAAATTATCCAGAGCTAAATGAATTAGTGCAGTTCCTAAGAGGTACAAATCCCAAAAATGCTGCAAAATGGTCAGTAGTGATGGGAACAGAGGTAGCAAGGGGAATAGAGATTGCTTGGTAAGTTGCAAGCATGCAAACATGCGTCATTCAAAAGACTTCAAGTTTTCTGCTCTGTTTATCCCTTTTTGTGGGGTGTTAAAAAGCTAAGGACAAATTTCCCCTCATCCACCGTCTTCATACATTTAATTGTTTCACAGGTTTTTATCTCCCCCTTCTGTGCCTCTCAAAGTGAATAGAACCAATTGTTTAACTTATCTTTTAGTGGGAACTTTCCCAGATTCATAATAGTTTCTTTAAATACAAGTCTGCACAGAGTATTCCAGACACATCTATGTGATACAATTATCTAAAGATATTACAATTTTTTCCACATTATCCTTTCTTCCATTTGACCTACATCCTAGTGCTTTGCTCATTTGTTTGGCCCAAGCTTTATGCGGAGCAAGGGATGCACCAAAATCGATACTTGGTGTGCTGGATGCAGCTGTTTCATGCAGGGATTGAATAACTTTCTGATCTGCACAATGATGGGTTTCAGCTGCCAGGCAAACTGGAGGGTTTGATGTCGCCCCCAGTTGCAGATGCCTGGTGCAGCTGAATCCCGTGGTCCATGAGCTGTAGTTGCACGTGTTGCACTGAAGGGCAGCACATCAGCAAGTCCTGGCAGGTCTGTGACCCGAGTGGTCACCATGTTGTCCTACCAAGGGAAAGAACATGCTGCTAGTCTTAGTGAAATCCCCTGGCTTGAGAACAAAACCTCTCTTTTGGAGTGCGTAATCCCAAAGTATCCGCAGCTTCGCAAGAGTGAGCACCATGCTGGACACAATCACAGCAGAGCTGCAGCCAGCTTTGAAGGAAAGAAGTCTCCCCTGAGAAAAACCTTTGCACGAAATGTTCCAGAAATGGCAATCCAGGAGTAGCTGACCTTCTGGGGAATGGTATCACCCACACTGCAGTCTACTTACTGCTGGTGAGAAAGGGGGCTTGGTGTTATTAAATGCACATGGCAGTGAGGCGTGCAGAAAGCCAAGAATCTATTAAAGCCTTTAATTGGAATATATTTTCAAAATTTAGATTGAACCTCATCCAGATTCTCATTATTAAAAATTTGTGGCTCAGTTTCTTGATTTTAAAAGGGAACATAAAAAAGAAAAAAAAAAAGAGGGAGAGAAAAAAGAAAATCAGAGTTCCAGTAACTCTGCATTATGTCACTAAGAGTAAAAAGAGCTGTTGCTGGCTCACTTGTGATATCCAGTTTCCCACAGGATATTGTGATGAGCAGATCACTATCAGTGACTCTAAGTTTTGTGAGGACATAGAGACTAAAAAGGCAATATTAGAAGAGTGATGAGTATGTAATCCTTCCTACAAAAGCCAATGACTTATCAAGAAATGAAATCAAAGGTACCCTGGCAGCTGGTAGGAAGAAATACCTCCTAAGCAGAACTTCAGGACCAATGTGACAGTCATATGATGTGATCTATCACTTGGCTTGCAGCAGATAAAAATTCACTTTGTTATTTAATTATTGTTTTGATGCATGAATAACAAATGCAAAAGAGTCAAACGTCTTAAACATGACTGGGCAGCTCTCAGGGCAGCTTTCTTTCCAAATGGGCTCTTCTTGAATAAGTGCTTTTGCCAGGGATCCAACAAAGGGTAGATGCAGTAGATTCAACCCCTTCTACATCAGCTTGAGCATCTGCATTGATCTTGGACTGGAGGTAGAGAGTAGAGAGCACACCTCCTAGAGAGTCTGCAAAATTGGCATTGATGGCTCTTGAGATCAGCGTTGGGAATCATCTACAAGGGTGTTGTAGGGAAAAAGGGCTGTGTTCCCTGCTGGTGAGACAGCTGGT